ATCAACTAATTGAAGAGAGAATGAGAGAGAGACAAACGAAGAGAAGATTGACGATTTGAAGGCAGATGATGATGAGGTGGGAGGAGTGAAGCAGCATGCGGGTCAAATGAAATCGTTACGTAAGCTTTCAGGTGATAGAGCTACGGTAAGATAGATTAACGTCGCAAACGACAACTCAGTTCCAAATGAACCTGCCGATTTTTCAGTTTATCTTCTATGGCTTATAAGCCGGATTACATTTACAACCTTTTTTTCCTGCTAAAACAGCAATTACAAGAAAGAAGTTTAAAAAGAGATGAATAGAGAGAATTGCGTTGACCATAGTGTCAAACGGCGAACCGTACAAACCATTCCGCCTCATTAGCATATACGATATACACGTGAGCGTAAGGCGAGAACAATAGATTTTTCATTTCTCAAAAATCAGACGAATGGAGCGGTTGTTTTTCAATTTTCATCGAAAGTTATATACTATATATGCGGAGGACTAAAAGGTTGAGGAGACTTTCCACAAACGGAGTATCGTGATACAATGGGAGTCAGGCAAATAGACTTCATTCTTATAGTTAACATATTTTCAGTTCGAATCTAAAAATTGTGTGCTTCTTCAGGTAGATAGGATCCTACAAATAGAGGAATCTCTTGCGTACTTTGTGCTACAAAATTGCATCAAAATGGAAATATTTAATTTTTCTTTTCATTTTCCCAGGATAACTGTGGTGTGTTCGTATCGAGAATGAATGGCGACAGCAATTGACTCTTATAATGGTTCTCATTCTTATTCGCTTTCTGTTTTTGAGTGAAAATCGTACATGCATTGATAAAACATTTCTTTAATGGAATGTTAGAATACGAATGACCATGTGCAGGAATGAACGAGAAGATGAATTCAGTGAAGCTTTATAACTTTTCCAGATCAAACAAATAGAATTGAAATAGCCATTTGTAGATCTCCTCTTTCAAATCTGATTGTAAGCTTTCGTCACAAAATTTCATCAAATTCTTTTTGTTCATTTTTCAATTTTCAGATCGAAACTTCATTGACAAGCTTCTCGTATCTTATCCGGTTAGACACAGACAAGACCAATTTGATGTAATGGACGAGAAAAATAGACGAATAATTAGAAGATTTTAACAATCGCCATTTCTTGTTCATCAAATAATATATTTGAAACATTGTCTCATTCGAAATTGATTTGAGGCGATTATCTATTGGGCAACACACAATGATGAGATGATGAGTGGGAGTGCGATGAGCGAGACATGGTCTATGGGGGGGGGGGGACCCCACGATTTGCTGAACGCCCTGTAGTTCACGCATAAAAAAAATGTGAGGAAATACTTGTTATAGATGTAACTTTGATGACTAAAACTATTTCAATTTCAAACAGTTTCATCGAACTCAATGTGACTCATCCAAATTTACCATCAGTTTAGTTTAAATTGCCTCTTCAAGCAGTTTTTTGTTCTTTGTTTGATAGTCTTTGGAATTTCTATCTGTTCTCTTTCAAGCAGTAGATGCTCTCAGCTCACACAGATAGTATCTGTCATATCTTTTCCAAAAAACGTCATTTCTCCATAAAACATGTAATCGTATCTATTTTTCATGAGCCACTCATCTTAATAAGAAGAGAACCTTTCTTAGTTTCGATGATGCCAATAGCTAATCAACATCATTCCAATCTATGCGAAGAAGTTGTATAACCAATGATCAGACGGTTTTTGAGTTTGAAATCTATAACAGCTCGGTCCAGGTGAAAATCACAAAGCAGAATTTCAAGAAGCTCAAGATAAATTCAACGGAGGTATTATGTCAATGAAAACTTGAGCAATGAAGCAACTTGAGTGATCAACATAGAGCAATCTCTATAGCTCTCAAGATATTTTAATTAAAATTCTACAATGATAATACTGTGGATACTAGAATGATCAGGATTGGAATAGTAAATAGACAACAATCAACACAATAAATGAATAAAATCCAGAAGTTGTGATGCTCGAGTTGCAAAGATCTGTGGCACAACAGCATGTTGTACCAGTATAACTATTGAAACAACCAATTCCCTGAACATATATCAAGTAAACATTGTCATCAATCTCTTGTTTTACCGGACAAGTTAAGAGACCTCCACATGTGCGTAAATACGTCTGATCGTTACTTTGGTAGTTGTTAACGATGTACTTAACGCAATACGCTGATCCAAACTGACATTGAACCTGGAAGATTTGACCTTTTTCTTAATATTATAACAATTCATGCCTGTGTTTTTGGAGCTTTGTGTACACTATGACTGGTGGTATAGGAATAGCACTTGTTAACTTTTGAAAAAGCAATTGGTAGAAAGAAGAGAATGAGGATAAGATTTCTCATTTTGAATGATAATTGATGAACTAGTCAGAATAACGGAGAAGGTGATACATGTATCAATGTGTTGATAAGCTTGATGAATGTGAATCACTTTAATCACAAGCAATCAATTGACCGTCTGCGGTAGTGCAAGAAGAACATGAGAACACATAAAAGCTGTCTATTGTACCGAGAGGTTAGTATTATCGAGACATTCTCTCATACAGTAAGGCGACAAAATTTTGTACATGAGGACTAATCTTATATTAAAAAAAAGATTTATTAACATGAGGTCAAGAGAGATTTTCGTTTAGCTCGAAAGTTCGAACAATTTGTCTATTATGATCGGAATAAGAAACAGGTGAGTAAAACAATGAAAGAACTGATTCCGGTTGTTAATGTGGAAGTATTGCACAAGTTCTTGGAACAGCAACATACTGATCCTCCATTTATATTGAAACAACCATCTCTCTGGAGCAAGACAAGATTGAAGATATTGTGTACTTAATATACCTGGCAGTCCATAGGGCTACCACATTGACGAGAAAACAGCTGATCAGAAGAGCCATCGTTGGAACGGAAATTAGTTGTATATTTAACACAATAATTTGTGTTGGCTGGGCAAGTAGCCTTCAAATGGAATCGTCTTTAGAAGGTGGAAGAGGTTAGAACAACACATACCTGAGTTTTGGAATCTGCTTTATGACTCTGTGTATTAGTGTACGTATAGCATTTGCTTACAGCTGAAGCCAACATAGGCAAAACGAGAAGGATGAAGAATAATGAAACTTTCATTTTTGAATGAAAATATTCTAAACAGATAGGCTGATGAATGCTGAAAATCAAAAAAATCTTGCTTAAATAGGAGGAGACGATGATAGAGTAATCTTAACGGCATAAGTTGTTAATGAATCATACCAATTTATCGGTAAAAACCAAAAGTGATGGTCAGAAGAGGTATGAGGGGGACTTTTATAGTTTGATAAATGGAAATGTCTGTTGAAATCAGAAAAAACTCCTCTCCACATTACTGCGAATGACTAACTCTCTTAAACACATTATTTATATATTCCCTTTTATGGCAAACATGTCTTTCCATAAAATTCATCTTCAAAGAAGTTTATTGGTGTTGGGCCATTGGTTGTCAAGAAAAATGGTGGATGATTCAATGAAATTTTCACACTTGATAAGCCAAGTCCTCATTTCAGAAGAAAAAAATTTTTTTTACTCCTACCCACGTTTTAACTCTGAGCAACTGAAGCGTTATAGCAAGTCAGGTATGGAAGTATCAGTCATTAACCAAATCTCCGGTTATTTTCTGTTTCCGATGACAAGAAGGATTGAGGTGTGTACGATGGGTACAAAAAAAAATTAAATAATAGAGTTTACAAGTTGGAACAAGTTTTGTATTTTTCAAAGAAACAAGTTGTTCTCTAAACGGTGATGAAAACATGTCTGACTCAACGGTGAACGACAAAACTCATTAGAAAAGGGAGGTAGCTGAATGAAACTGTACCTGGAGTAAAAATGAAAAACTGAATTTTTTTAAGTTAAAATACGTGATTAATATTTACTTAACATATTAAATGTAAACATCGTATGTTAAATACAAACATAAATCACAAATTTCGTGTAATCCTCAAGGAAATCCCAATGGTAAAGCTGTAAGAATCAATTCCATTTTATTTTTTTTGTTTAAATAATCTTCTTCAATGTTTGCATGATTTTGATATATTCTTTCTAGTTTTACGAGCACGAGTTTACAAAAGAATTTTCAAAACAGTTCGCAAAAAAATATATTTTTTTCGTTTTGTTTGCTCACCACAGCTAAGAGAGAAGAAATAACAAAAAATTAGCATTCTTAACTCAAATACTCTTCACGGCTTTTTTCACGTCATTCCCACGTCATTAATACGTTCACGTCGCGTTCACGTGAACTGTAAGGATTTATCAGTTTTAACACTTTCACTTACGTGATGAACGGTTGATTACAGATGTTAGTTGTCTACAACATAATCAACTCAAAGGTATATTGTGTAAGTTGGAAGATTTCAAATGAAAGTGTAAAACCAAATATGTTTAGAACTGAAAATGGAACGTAAAAGGATGATCGCAGAAATATAATATTTTTTCGGGCCATTTAAATCTTTTTCTTGTGTATATTACCAGGTTCAACTTCGTTCCATGAATTAAATAACCTTAGTGTTTAATCACCTGTCAAAGTGTGCAAAGAATCCTGGGTGAATGGCTGCCACAGCTTTTATCGGGGTGATTTTTGAAATTTGAATTCATAAAAAGGAAATTGAGAATTCTATTTTGTGATAAAACAGATCGAGGAACCGAATGCTACCACTTCTGACGAGTCGAATACTCTCCAACTTCCCGATAGAAAAAATGAAGACAAATATGATCTACTTCAAGCTCAACTTTTATGAAACCATCTAACAATCGTCTTAAACCAGGGATATCTTTTGCCTATTAGTTTGATTGCGTAGGAGTCCGCAAACACGACCAACACCTCCGTTCCCACGACCAAGAATGATTTTCAGAGTTCGAAGACTTTCTTAACAGTTTTCAGCTTTTGCTTCAAGTTTATTGAGTTTTCCATTCAAAATTAAATAAATTGATTAGATATTCTTATGTTTTAAGCGAAATGACAATCACAGTCCTTGCCGATCAGCCTGCTTTTCAGAGTTTCATCAAAGGCAATGGGTCAGTTCTCTTCGTAAGCATTCAAACAAACCTTAATTTCAGGATCAATGTTGTCCATTTTTCCGCAACTTGGGCTCCATCTTGCGAAGGCATGAATTCCCTTCTCGAAGCTCTTGTGACCGAATATAGAGATGTAAATATTGCCACAATTGATGCGGAAGGTGTTTCGAAAGTGTCTCTGCAATACAAAATTGCCGCTGCTCCCACTGTGCTCTTTTTCAAAGTGAGTTGTTTGAAAACTTAGGAAAAGTTGTCCTTACCTCTTCAGGATAGCAAAGAAGTTGGACGCGTGAACGGCTACATTCCTGCCGAAATCCGACAAAAAGTTATTGAACTTACAACAGGCGTGGTTATCATTGAAGCAGGGCCAACTGTAAGAGTTGTTAGTTTTTGATTTCATAAGATGTTTCTTTCTAAGAATCTAAATGAGAAGTTAGAAAAGCTTGTTAAATCTCATAAACTTATGATCTTCATCAAAGGAACTCCTGATCAGCCAAGATGTGGTAAGCTTACATCATCCACCTAACCATATTTCGTCTTTTTAGGATTCTCCCGACAATTAGTGGAAATGTTCAACTCTCACTCTTTAGACTACGGCTCGTTCGATATTCTCTCAGATGAAGAAGTTCGACAGGGATTGAAGGTGTCTTGTGTGCACACGGTATTTGCTTTATCTCTGTTTTTAGGAGTTCTCTAACTGGCCAACTTATCCCCAAGTTTATCATAATGGTGAATTGCTTGGTGGCTTGGATGTTATTAGGTGATTCCCTAGTTTAATCGAGTAATATTTTCCATCTTTCAGAGACGAGTTCGCTGATGCTGATTTTTTGAAGTCTTTGCCAAAGAAGGGAGAAAGCTCAGTAAGGCAAACATTACAGTTCTAGTACATCGATAGTTTCAGGGTTCCAGCGATGTTGATGCCCGTCTCAAATCCTTGGTTAATTCACACAAACTTATGCTGTTCATAAAAGGAAATCCTCAGCAACCTCGTTGTGGTAAGACTCAGGATGATTCTGAATCTCAATGAATAATGTTTGCTTATCATTTGTTAGGTTTCTCTCGACAAACCATTGAGCTTCTCAATAATATAAATGCTGTGTACGGAACTTTTGACATTTTGGATGATGAAGAAGTTCGTCAGAACTTGAAAGTAACAATATTTTCTCGTTTTCGTCATTAATTGTTTGGTTTAGACATATTCGAACTGGCCAACTTACCCACAGATTTATTTGGACGGAGAACTTATTGGAGGATTGGATGTGCTTAGAGAAGAGCTGAATGATAAAGAGTTCGTTGATAGCTTGCCCAAAAAAGCATAGAAACCTTCCTTATGTGTGATCCACACGCTTAGGCTCAATAATCTTACGAAATCAAATCACATTCTTTCAAATTGATTTCATTTTTTGCGTTCACGTTGTTCATCACTTGCATGCTTCTTCACATCGATTCTTTAGACCTCTATACAGTTTTGTTTTCCCCCGCGCCTTAAGACGATAAATGTTATTATTAAACAATGCATAGTTCACCACTGAGTATTACTATAGTGATCTTTCTTCCATTCTGATAACAGAATGATGCTCATAGTCTCTGCGCTCATTCTTTATCGTGAACTTGACAACATTCTGGGACACAGCATCACGTGCTTCCGTGGCGCAATAGGCAGCGCGTTCGGCTGTTAACCGAAAGGTTGGTGGTTCGAGCCCACCCGGGAGCGAAATCTTTT